TTACCTTGTGGACCTGTTTCCCAAATTTTCAGAGCCAACTGACCAAATGTCAGTTAAGGAAGAGGCAAGTCCTCGAAACGCGTCAGCCTATTGGATGTCTACACTCCCTATTGGGGACTGTTACTCAGCGCGGTGTTGACCCAGCTGTTCTTTTATGATGTGCCTTGACTTTATTGTCGTTTGTGAGTACAACACCTACTTTATTTGTTATTAAACATTTTTTATAGTAATGCACTAGGCCTGTGTGCCCTCTGTTTGTTCTTTCCTCATTCAGTATATTTGGATTCCCCCGGTCTATTTGATGGCAGCAACGTGTGCATGTTCCAGGACATTCTTAATGTGGTTGTAGCCTGCATCGAGTCCATCCCCAAGCGCAGGAGGATTTGTGTTTGCTGGTTCCTTGTTAACAGGTTCCCTGTCCTGCAGGGAACTTCAAGTCTTCTGGTCCAGAATTAGGTGATGTCCCGTATGGTTGTTGCAAATGTTTTGTCGTTCTATCAGGGACAATTTCCTAGCCCTCAGTTGGACTGCTTATAGATAACCTGACTGTGTCAGAATTTTTTTGATCCTTAATAGATAACAAAAATATGATATTATGGTAAATACAAAAATCTTATCCTGACCTTACAGGACATTGGTAAAGTATTCATATACCCTAAGTTATAGGCTTTTACCTTCAGGTGACTGGACACTGGAAAAGCTTTCAAAGACACACGCACTTGGCCCAGACCGCACGCTGTGGGGACAGCCTGTAATGTTGTACATTTCAGCACATATTCCCTGGTCAATAAGGAGTTTATCCTTTTAAGCCTGGAGTATTTGTTGACTCATAACATTTTCGTGTTCGATGCAGACCACTATCTCCAGAGGTGTGGAGCGTCTATGGGGGCTAGGTTTTCCGATTCACTGGCTAACCTTTATATGGGTTCCACATTTTTGGGGAAGACAATCCCCACCGGTCATGTATAAAGCTGTACCTTCATTACATTGATGACCTCCCGTTCATATGTTCCAGAGATATTGGCAATTTGGCTGATTGGTTAACCACCTGCCATCTTTTTGCTATTCGGCGCTGCACTTTTTCAACTGATTATTGTGCAGTCATGCAATGCTGTACCGAAACAAAATTGATATCCTTTTTTTTCACACAAATAGAGCTTTCAAGTTCTATTTCACACAAATAGAACTTTCTTTCAGTGGTATTTGATCACCTGTGCGTTTTTTATTTTTCGCGCTATAAACAAAAAAAGACCAAAAATGTTGAAGAAAAAATAATATTTTTTACTTTCGGCTATAAAAAATATAAAGTAAACTCAAAGTTAGTCATAAATTTAGGCCAAAATGTATTCTGCTACATGTTTTTGGTAAAATAAATCTCAATAAGTGTATATTGATTGCTTTGTATGAAAGTTATAGTGTATACAAACTATGGTATAGATACTGTAATTTACAGCATTTGTTTTTGCTATACAGCGCTGCATTAGTTTAACCATTTCCATACCGGGCACTTTGACCCCCTTCCCTCTCAGGACATTTTTCAGGTTTCAGCGCTCTCACACTTTGAATGACAATTGACAGGTCATACAACATTGTACCCAAACTAAACTTTTATCATTTTCTTCACACAACTAGAGCTTTCTTTTGGTGGTATTTAATTTTTGAAAATTTTGAAAAAAAAACCCACGTTTTTCTTTGTTTCTGTCTTTGGTGAAAATAACCCAAATTAGGATGTATTTTTTTAGTTTGTAGGAAAGTTAAAGAGTTAACAAACTATGGTATAGATCTGAATATTGATCAATCCTGAAGTACTGACAGCCAATCTAATTTCTTGAGGTCCAAGAATGTCAGAACAGTACAGATATTACCCAAATGACCCTTTTTTTGCAAAGTAGACAGTCCAACGTACTTTATAAGAGGCATGGCGAGTTTTTTGAAGTTGTATTTTTTTGTCATAATTTTTCGGAAAAAGAAAAAAATGATTTTCACTATTTGTTTTTTACATACTGTCACCAGTGCAGTACAACGTCATCATATAACTGGCATGGTGGTGATCAGGGACACTGACTGGTGACAGTATGAAAAAAAAAAAAAAATATATATATATATATATATATTTTTTTTTTTTTTTTTTTAATTACTTTTTATTTATTTTTTTTAAGTTTTTTTTTCATATTTCACTATGTCCAAAGTAGTACAATGTTACCATAGTGGGGAAGTGAACAGTATTTTTTTTTTTTTTTTTTTTTACACAACTTGCTTATAGCAAAGAATTACTTTGCTATAAGCAAGCATTTACCTGAATGACATTGATTCATTCAGGCTTTTTTTTTTTTTTTTTGTGCTTAGCTGTGATTTGGCCACAGCTTATCACATGACATGTGCATGTGATCGCTCTGACCATTCACAGCTAGACACTAGTATACAATGGATGGCATGAATGAAGCCATCCATTGTATACAACTGTCATGTGACCTGCTGTGATTGGTCACAGCAGGTCACATGGTACCGGCAACGGGGGCCGGTACTCAGATCTGTCATCGGCCGTGTCCGAGGTACACGGCAGGTGAAAGATCGCGGCTCTGCGCGGCTCTGCAAGCGCGAAAACTGCACCTGCCCGGGAGTACACCATATGGCGTCCACCCAGAAATCGACAGCATTTTGCCGGCCGCCAAACGGCTATTGGCTGGGCGGCTGTTGGTTAACTGACAATTGCGGGTTATGCAATACAGTACATAAATGAAATTTACATCTGTTTTTGCACACAAATAGAGCTTTCTTTTGGTGGTATTTGATCACCTGTGTGCTTTTTATTTTTGGCGCTATAAACAAAACAATTTTGAAAAACAAATTTTGTTAGAAAACAATATTTTCTCATTTCTGTCATAAAAAATATCCAAAAAACTAAAATTTCATCATAAATTTAAGCCAAAATGTATTCAGCTACATGTTTTTTGGAAAAAATCCCAATAAGTGTATATTGATTGCTTTGTATGAAAGTTATAGTGTATACAAACTATGGTATAGATACTGTAATTTACAGCATTTGTTTTTGCTATACAGCGCTGCATTAGTTTAACCATTTCCATACCGGGCACTTTGACCCCCTTCCCTCTCAGGACATTTTTCAGGTTTCAGCGCTCTCACACTTTGAATGACAATTGACAGGTCATACAACATTGTACCCAAACTAAACTTTTATCATTTTCTTCACACAACTAGAGCTTTCTTTTGGTGGTATTTAATTTTTGAAAATTTTGAAAAAAAAAAACCCACGTTTTTTTGATTGCTTTATGTGAAAGGTATAGCATCTACAAACTGATGGTATAGATAATGGAATTTACACAGCTTTTACTTTCTGACTGCCCATCACATTCCTTGACATGCTAAAATAGCAGGACAGTACAAACACCCCTAAATGACCCCTTTTCAGAAAATAGACACCATAAGCTATCTGCTGAGAGACATACTGAGTCCATGGAAGATTTATTTTTTTTCCACAAGTTTTTGGAAAATGACAAAAACATTGTTTTTTTTTTTGTTTTTTTTTTTTCACAAAGTTGTAATTTAAATTATATATTTCTCAAACAAGCCATGGGTATAAGTGGAATTACACCCCAAAATACATTCTGCTACTTCTACCAAGTATGAGGATACCACATGTGTGAGACTTTTTGGGAGCCGAGCCACATACAGGAGCCTGAAATCCAATGACCACTTTGAAAGCCTGAAGGTGCTTAACTTCCTTGTTTCACTTCCTCACTACCTATCACAGTTTCTGAGGCCATGAAATGCCAGGAGAGCTCCACCCCCCCCCATGACCCCTTTTTGGAGAGTAGGCACCCCAAGGAATTTAAAAAGAGGCATGATGAGTAGTTTGCAGATCTCATTTCTTCTCACAAGGTTTTGAAATATAAAACAATAAAAGGGGTTTTTGCTCTTTCTTCATTTTCCAAAAACTTGTGGCAACAAACTAGATCTGCAAAATACTCACCATGCTTCTTATCAAATTCCTTGGGTTATCTACTTTCCAAAAAGGGTCATTTGGGGGGGTTGGTGCTATCCTGACATTTCAGGGCCTCTGAAACTGTGATAGGTAGTCAGGAAGTGTAATGAGGAAATTAAGCCCTTTAAAAGCCTGAAGGTGCTTATTGGATTTTGGGGTCCTGTACTTGGCTAGACTGCCAAAAAGTATCTCACATGTGGTACCTTTATAATCAGGAGAAGTAGCAGAATGTACTTTGGGGAGTAATTCCACATATACCCATGGCATGTGTGAGCAATAAATCATTTAACCACTAGCCTACAGGGCACTTATATCTCCTTCCTGCCCAGGCCAATTTCCAGCTTTCAGCGCTGTCACACTTTGAATGACAATTGCGCGGTCATACAACACCAGTACCCTTATGAAATTTTTTTCATTTTTTTGTGACAGATAGAGCTTTCTTTTGGTGGTATTTAATCACCTCTGGGTTTTTTATTTTTTCTTAAACAAACCAAAAACCACTGAAAATTTTGAAACAAAAAAGTTTTTTCTTAGTTTTTATTATAAAATTTTGTAAATAAGTGATTTTTCTCCTTCACTGATGTGCGCTAATGAGGCTGTAGTGATGGGCACTAATAGGCTGCACTGATGGACACTGATAGGTGGCACTGATGGGCACTGATGAGGAGGCACTGGTAGGCATTGACAGGCATCACTGATGGGCACTGAAAGGCAGCACTCATATATGGCACTGGTAGGTGGCACTGATAGGCAGCACTGACTGGCACTAATAGGTGGCACTGACTGGCACTGTTAGGTGGCACTGACTGGCACTGTTAGGCAACACTGACGGGCACTGATAGGCGGCACTGATGCACACTGATAGGCGGCACTGATGCACACTGATAGGTGGCACTGACTGGCACTGATAGGCAGCACTGACTGGCAGTGATAGGCGGCACTGATTGGCAGCACTGATAGGTGCACTGACTGGCATTGATAGGTGGCACTGACTGGCACTGATGGGTGACACTGAAAGGCAGCTCAGATGGGCACTGATATGTGGTATTGATGTGCACTGGTAGGCACTAAAATGTGGCATTGATGTGGCACTGATGGGCACTGGCAGGTGGCATGGATGAGCACTGATGGACACTGATGGGTGGCACTGCTGGCTACACAGATCATCAGGGCACACTGATTTTCAGTGCCCTGAGGATCAGTGTACATGTCCCCTCCGAGGAATGTCGATTACCGGCTCTCCTCTCCTCTCGAGCTGTCAGCGTGACAGCTCGTGAGGAGAGAAATGCCGATAACCGGCATTTCCCTGTTTACATGTGATCAGCTGTGATTGGACACAGCTGATCACATGACCGAGCCGACATCTTCGGCTCTTTCTGTTGATCGGTGATCGCCACGCTGCGCGCTCCCGGAGCTGTGAATGCGCGGTTAGAATGGGAGAACATCATATCACATCCTCCCAGATCGAGAGAATCGTCTTGCACCCGTCATTGTACTCTATGGCGGGAGGAAGGAGGTTAATAGACAATTTTGTGTAAAAAAATTTTTTTTTTTTGTCATTTTCCAAAAATTTGTGGTAAAAAAATTAATTCTTCTATTATTGACTCAACATGCCTATCAGTAAATCATTTAGGATGTCTACTTTCCAAAAAGGGGTCGTTTTTGGGGGGGGTGGGGGCATTTTATGCCCAGCAGTAGAAGTTTATGCCACACATCATTCACTCTTCTAACCACCTAAAGACCAAGCCTTTTCTGACGCTTTTTATTCACATGAAAAAAATCTGTATTTTTTTGCTAGGAATTACTTTGAACCCCCAAACATTATATATTTTTTTTAAAGCAGACACCCTAGTGAATAAAATGGGGGGTGCTGCAATTTTTTATGTCACATAGTACTCACGCAGCGATTTTTCAAATGCAAATTTTTTTAATGCAGAAAAAACACAATATATTGGCCAATTATTTGGTAAAATATAAAAGATGATGGTATGTTGAGTAAATAGATACCAAACATGACATGCTTTAGAACTGCGCATGCCCCGTGCAATGGCGACAAGCTGCATACAGTTTTAATATTCATTGGCAATGCTTTAAAAGCCTTTACAAGATACCATTTTAGATTTACAGAGGAGTTCTAGTGCTAGAATTATTGCCCTTGATCTGACGTGTGCGGCAATACCTCACATGCTTGGTGCAACCGCTGTTAACATACCGGCACAGGGTCAACGCTCGAGCACACAATGTTTCTGTTTACATTGATTTGAATGCATTTTTGGAGGGAACATGACATCATGGGGTGGGGCCAGGCTCAATTAATTTCACTCTGATTGGTGGATGGTTTTCTTAAATAGTTCTCCAGTTTCTGTCACAATTTGTCACATGCCTGATGAAGGGGTCCTGCGAAACTCCGAAACGTTGCCTTGCTGTAACTATGTGATCGTTCATTAAAACTTTTGGACCCATATTGGTGATCCTCGGTGTGCTGGTGACATTTTCCCTTGCTGATTCTGTTCGGTTCCAGCCGGTGGTCGCTGCAGCACCCACTTATACACACAGCCAATTTTAACACAGGAAAATGTGCGTTTGGATTGTACACTTGCACTGTTTACATACCGACACAGATTTTTTAAATTATTTTTACACTGTCCCTTTCATTTGTTTTTTAATCACTTTTAATGCTATCACAAGGAATGCAAATATCCCCTATAACTTCAATGGGCATTGTCATATATTCTATTTTGAAAAATATGGGGTCTGTCAGACTCTAGATACCGCCTCTGCCCTTACATTATCTAATCTCACCAATATAGGTGTGATCAGATGCTTTCCCATTTACAAATGGTGCTGTTTATACCCTGTGAAACTGAAGTGATGAAAAGCTCGTAGCTTCTGATTTCTTAAACTATAGAGATGATTGTCACCATTCCAGTCTCCAATCAGCTCTATGGTCAGCTGTCAGAAACACCGGCTGCATTCTCAGGTTCCCCAGATAGTACGGGACTGCCCGAGAAGGCCGCAGAAGGCAGCGGGGAAGGAGGGGCATCTCTCTCCCGCTGCTTGGAAAAGCAATCCTGCAGCATTAGCCACTAGGTTTGCTTTTACACGAAAGTCGATCACTAGCTGAAAAAAACAATACCAGCCTGATGCCTGCAGCTGTAGGCATCATCCTGGTATAACCATTCAAAGTCCAGTGATGTACCAGTACGACGCTGGTCCTTGTTGGGTATAAATGCTATGTTCTTTTTTTTTTGGTATGAAGCCTGTGGGCTGAATGAAAAAAAAGAGAAAAAACCTCTGCCAAATAAAGTGTGTGGTATGCCCACCATTAGAATATACTGCTCTGCATCCACCCACTTCTAATGGTGGGCACACATTAGGTCACATGGTGCCACATGTGTCAATTCCAAGATTGTACAAATGTCTAAATAGTGGCGCGCTTAAATAAAAATTGTCCACATATAAGTGGTACCCCATATGCAAAAAGGATGACACCAAGTCCCAAACTATCTTGCCACTACTCCCCATGTAGTCTGGGCATCCGGGGGGCCCTACGTGACTATCTTTTCCTCGTAAATCCCAAACTTATATGTATAACCTGTTGCCCTCTCACAGGTCTTATACATCTTGACCTCATATCTGGCATGCTTGCTGGGGAAAAATTGTTTGAATGCAAGGCAGCCAGAAAAATTAATGGGGGACTCATCAATACAGATTTTTTGCTGGGCAGTATAGACATCTGCAAATTTTTGGTTAAGATGATTTACGAGGAGCTGTTCAAATTCAGGGTCACCCCAAGGACGACAGAGTGTATTGTCGTTGAAATGCATAAAACACATTATACTCTCATATCTATGCCTGGCCATGGCAGCAGAGAACACGGGCACATGATGAATCAGGTCTGTGGACCAATACAACTGCAATTCATTGCCCATGCTGAGGGTTAGGCCCCAAAAATGTTTTGTTGTACATATAAATTGCTTTGATCCACAATCAATGCATACAGATCTTCTGTGAAAAACAGCTCCAAAAATTCAATGGAGTAGTTAAGTTTGCTGTTTCCACCTGAATTCCAGGTTGGGCAGTGAATATAGGAAGTACGGGTGCTGCAGAATTTGTGGGCTGCCAATCGGGATTTGCAAGCACATCCGGAAGGATACTATGGGCTCTACAGGTCTTTGTGCAAATTCTTGGCGGTTAAGGGACAATACTTGTGCTCGCCACCGCACCAGCTTGTACTGCAGTTATGGGACTTGCCACGTCGCCAAGTGATACTGCAGTGCTGGTAAGTGAAAGTATATACTAGGCCGCTGGTGCTCGCCAGTACACCAAAAGGTAGAGCGACACTCGTACTGGCACTCTGCTGCATATGAGAATCATAAAAATTTACCGGCTAGTGCTAACAGAGATCAGGCCTGATTCTGTGAACACTGCAGTTTTGTGTGCAATGTATCAAGTGACAGTGACCTACTGACACTGTGCTTGCTGGGGGAGAAAGAAGGGGGGGGTAAGCGTAGGGGCTAAACGCAGGTGCTGGCAGATGCCGGGGCTGATCTCGCTAACGCTGTGTTTTTGGGGACACTATACTAATGTGATAGCTGGTGTAGTGCTGATCTGATCAAAGATATTGATCCGTTCAGTCACTATACTAGCAATGGAGGTTTACTGTGTATGAGCGTGTTCCTGGCAATCAAGGGGTTAAATGTGATAACTGGTGTACTGATGGGCAATCTGAGGCTATCTGGGAGGGGTGTGAAAACCACAGGAGCGTGAATCATGTATATATACACGTGATTTTGCACACCCGTGCCGCCCTGCAGCAGTATTTCTGCTATTGGGTGGTCAGGAAGCAGTTAAAGAAGCGGTTTGCGTTACGGAGCTGCGTTACTTTAACTGACAATTATGCCATCATGCAATGCTGCACCCAAATTAAATTCACGTTATTTTTTTACCACAACTTGAGCTTTCGTTTGGTAGTATTTGATCGTCTGTGCAGTTTTTATTTTTTGCGCTATAAAAAAAAAAAATCTGATCGACAATTTTGAAAAAAAAATAATATTTTGGACTTTTTGCTATAAAACATGTCCAGTAAAAAAAATTTAAAATCTAATTTCATTATAAATTTAGGCCAAAATGTATTCTGCGACATGTTTTTGCTAAAAAAAAAAATCCCAATGCGTGCAAATTATTTGGTTTACCTGAAAGTTTTATAGCGTTTACAAATAGCGGTATAGATACTGGAATTTTTCTGTTTTTTTATACTAATAATGGTGGCGATCAGCGACTTATAGCGGGACTGCAGCGGGCATTCTGACACTGGAGGGAACACCATCGTGAGCAGTGTGCCCAAACTGACAGGGAGGAGGGCTGTTGGTAAACAATGCAGTCCTCCTCCCTGTCGGTGATCACCGATAATCACCAGGCGCCAGCAGGTAATCACCGGCCGGGACCCGGTGATTTACACCCGGGGCTGTGATCGGCGGCTCGGGTAGGGCGCATACCCCCTATCCGGAAATGTAGAATCACATATATATATATATATATATATATATATATATATATATATATATATATATTGTGGCAGTGCGGTGTCCTGCCACGGTCAAAATAAAGCTGAGAACCTTGGATTCTCAACCAGGCAGGTTGAGGGGCTCCAGAGAGTTGATGTATTGCAGAGGAAACTGGCTTTTCAGTTTCCTCATATATTCATTAAGTCTGTTTTGGGATCTGGAGCCTGGAGATTTCAAAGAGATCTGGGAGGGATGAAATCTCCAATCCGGGGTCCGTGTTTTGAGAACCCCCAGCACACTGATTGCACAGGTGTGTGCAGGCCTTTTTGTAGAGGCCTAACCATAGTTCTGGGCTCCACCCCGGCAGACGGAGTCAGGAGGGCTCCATCCCGGCAGACATGAGGTCTCTGCCATGGAGTCAGGTGAAAGCCAGACTAGCTGTGTGCTAGTGGCCATAATTTGGGAAGAGTCTGCAGGAGACAGACAGTGAACTGTGTACAAGCCAGGAGGCTGAATCTTTGTTGGTATTTCTTGATGGTGGATACCCCTGCGTGGGAAGCATTTGTGTTATTTGAACTTTCTTTAAATAAAAGTGGGCAAAAAAGCCCTTAAAGAAGCGAGTTGCTGTGTGCTTAAACAAGAAAAGCTCTACCAGTTGAAGCGAGTTCCCACAATATATATACACATGATCCTGTGCACAGGGGTCGCCCTGTAGCAGTACTGTGGGCGGTCCTAAAGCAGTTAAAGTATATGAATGATCTGAATGATAATGAACTGAATTTTCAGTTTATGGGACATATGCACAGTAGATTGATCTTTTTTTTTTATGTCATCTTAAGCAGTGAAGAGGATAAGATTTTATCT